TAATTCTGTCAAACAAAAACTAGAGCACACACCTGATTGAACTCGGCAAATCAACAAAAAAAAAATCAAAAACAAAAACCAAAAAAAAAACTAATCAACATATGTTGAAGATCAAATAGCGACATCAAACCAAATGTGAGGGTCAAGTCATCAATCCAGATCTTAGGCAAAATTTTGAGTTACAAGGTCGACTCCAAATCAAAACTCAAAATCGAGTTCGTAATGGTGAAATCACACCAAATTCGAAATGCCACAAACCAGATTTGAAATGTTATTAGTTAAATCCATATCTGAGATGTTAATCAACCTTACCCAAACCTCTTAAGCATAGATCGCAAACTCAAATTAGGGCTCCTCTCATATCACAAATTGAACTGAGGACTGAAGGAAAAGGGAGAACCTTTGTTAGAATTTTAATCTAGTAAACAAGTAAATGGAGTATGGTAGAGGTGCATGAAGCCTCCAGTTTCTTCAATTCTAGGGTTTCTAGAAGAGAAATGGAAGGCTTGACTGACATTGGATGCGGAGGAGAGGGTGGGGCCGGAAATCATGGCGGTTGGTGGCTGGAATACATCGGTAAACTATGCTCCGGCGACTTAGGTGACCTCTAACATGGCTATGAACAGAAGCTGTGTTTAGAGGGAGAGGAGAGAGACGAAGAAGGTGGGGAGAGAGTGGGAGAGAAGGTGGGAAGATTTAATTGAAGGTAAAATAGTCTGATAAAATATTTAAATAATAAATTTTGTCCTTTATGCAAGACTTTCTAATTATGAGGGGGTTTAGATAGTATACTTTTTTTTTAGTTCTTTTAACAATAAAAGGAAGGTAAAGGGAGTTTATAGCCAAATTTCCCTAAAAAAAAATATTGCAATATATAAAAATATATAAAGGGTTATTGAGATTACATTAATTTTGACAAACGCATTTGCAATATTCTTTTAGAAATCAGAGGGAATATTACTAAAAAGGCCCACCAATAATGGGTTTTGGCCCAAAAAAAACCCTATATAATAAAAAATAATAGTAAACGGACATTGGACCACAGAGGGATGACAACACAGCTAGGCCCAAACTTAAATCTCAAAGCCCAAAATTCAACCAAACATGCAGTGCTCGATCCATGTGCCAGATAGTGGGTTACAACTGACAATCAATCGCCAATATATTTGCTCCGCGTGTCAATTCCCTTTAACGGCTCTTTTTTCCGTCCCTTTCAACAAAAACAAAATTAAAGCCGAGCCGTAACGATCATCAGGCTCGGTGCTTCACTTCACTATCATCATCGACCCATCTTCTTAGCAGACCGTTACTCTCTCTCTCTCTGCAAATCGTTGAGGAAGAAGAAGAAGACATGACTGCGGTGAGTGTAGCCACCAGACACTGCAAGAAAGCAATGAAATTAGGAATCTCTCTCTTCCGCAGAGGCTTCAACTCCTCCAAATGGTTTGTCTTCTCTCATTTCTTGATTCTATTTTTTTTAAACCCTAAAATTTGACAAACAATGGGTGTATGTATATTGAATTTGATGATTGTAAAAACAGCAAGACAATGACGAAGATGGCAGTGGCCAGGATAAAGTTGCTGAGGAACAAGAGAGAGGCGGTGGTGAAGCAGATGAGGCATGACATCGCTGTGCTTCTTCGATCTGGTCAAGATGCCACTGCTCGCATTCGGGTATTTCTTCTTTAATTTTCCTTCTCTCATTTCATCTCACTTTTGTAATTAATCTGTGTGGAGCTAGCTATCCCCAAATTTGATTTTGGGTTATTTGCCTTTTGACATGGAAACTACATATTAGAGCATCTTCAACCCTTCACCAATTATTTATTTATTTATTTAAATAACTACATTATTTTCAGTAGCAAAGAGTAAACACAAGTATTGCAGATGGCTATGATGCTTTGTTTTTGGGTGTGGCTGCTAATAGCCATTGGTTGTTTTTATTTGTGGTGTTCGGCTTGGGGTTTGATCTTGTTGTAATATGCACCTCTGTTTTTTCTTTCTTAATCTATTTGATCTTTTGATTCATGAATGGTGCAGATTTCTATTATACTTTTTATGTCATCAATTCCTCAAAACTCTTGTCAAAATATACCCTTGGCATAACTAGAGTATTTTGTGAAATTCATATTTTATTTGTTCCTCAATATTTACTCTCTAGACACATCCCATTTTATTGGTACTTCACTTCAGCACTTCCCCGCTCATTGCTTGCTGCATATCCTCCCTTTCTGGTGAGTCTAGAAATTGATATAAAAAGTTGTTTCTTGCCTTGCTAGGCATCTCATTCTTGTGTATATGCTAGTTGTTTAGTCACAGTGTGATGAGATATGCTTGCTACTTAGATTTGGTGACTGATGGTTTCAAATTCCTTTTATGCTTTTGGCTGCAGAGGTAGTTTGTATAAGGTGAAGAAAAATGAAGGCTGGGAAGTTCTTAATGAATTTTATCTAGTGTTATGGTGATTGAGTTGGAATTTTTGTTCTTCTAATATAGCATGAATTACAATGTTCATAACGTAGTTCATTCGCAAATTTTTAAACATAATTTTCAAACATTTCTAAATTCCAATTAAACTTGAACACATATAATTCAATACTTCAATTTCATTATTCTACTTTCAATTTGGGCCAAATCATTGGTTACCATCATTAATCAACCTGGGGTTTTAAAGAAAATTGGGGATTTTCCTCTTTTCTTAGTTAAATCTTTAAATCAACAATTACTATTTATCAATGTGCTAAAAACATTCAACATCCTTTGAAAATTGGAGTGGAAACCCCATTTGTAAGTAAACAACAAGCCATTAATGTTTCTAACCTATAATCAACTCAAAATTCCAAAATGTTAACAAAATCCCAAAGTGGCAACAAAATCACTTTGAATCATAAACATTCAAGGCTAAGAGAACCCCCTACCTCAAGATTGGAAGCAAAGAAGCTAGATCAAAAGCGTCCTCTCGAAAATCTCAAAATCTAATCGGTTGGAAAAGTTGATCTTCACTTCTTCTTCATCCTTGATGCACGATCCATGGTGGATTGTTGGTGAGAATGGATGAAATCAAAGGTTTGAGGGTTAGGTTTTCGGACCTAGGAAGAGAGGAAGGAAGAGGGAAGAAGAAAATGTAAGAAATGATCAAAAAATCCCGTTTTTACGCTGCTGTGCTCGCGAAACCCGCTCGAGCGTCCCTATTCACGCTCAAGCGTACCTGCTCCCAACACAGATTCCAAAACTTCAAACAGGTATAACTCTCCCATCCGGACTCCGTTTTAGGTCGTTTTTGTGTCCAAATTGAAGCCTCGGAAATAAGCTTTCCAATGGTTCTAACCTCACATTCAAATTCAAAGTGTGAAAAGAGAAAAGGGCAAATGAGTGACAGCTGATCCTAGAATAACTATCTGGATTATATTCTTTGGTCCAATCTTACTTTACCATCATACCACCACCTCAATCACTACCCCAAAATAAGATAAGAACATTCCAAATACACTAATAAGAATGTCAAAAATGAGTCCACGTGCCTCAGAAGTTCGAACTTAACCAGGCGGCCCGCTCGAGCGCCTAACCTTGCGCTCGAGCGCGTAGACCAACAAAGCCGTCTGCTCAAGCGACCATTTCTACGCTCGAGCGGAAAATCACCACTCCCAGAATTTCAACCCCCCTGCAAAATTACTGGAAACCCCAAAAGTCCGCTCGAGCGGAGAGAAAAATTTCAGATCGTCACAGTAAAGGTCGTCAATTCCAGTTTTAAAGTCATAACTCAATAGATAGTTCTTCAATTCCAATAGATATAGTTGAATTAAAACACATTACCCCTACTTCCTCTACGTATTTTGGAGTCATTACAGGTGTAATTCATGCAACCCAGTTAGGACCCATTTATAAGTCTGTACAAGTTTTAAGCAGATTCAAATTGAACAAGTTCACGGTTTTGGGTTGGAGATAAAATAGAGGGTTGGCTTTTGCAAAAAAGCTTGTTTCATACCACTATGAATCAAATCATAACCTTTTACATCCTGACCTAAAGATCATATATTTGAAGGGCTTTTTATTTTTATTCATTAAAGCATATATTATTGACTTGTATGGTATTATTGGATAATGGATATTTATTGACTTGATTTGCCTAGGCAAAGAGCAGCTATCTATAGTTTAAACCCACATTTGGTAGCTTCAACTTTCACTAGTTAATTGTTTGGCCCAAAGAGAGAGAGCTTCTCTCTAGAGATTTTTGGCAATGCTTCGGGGATATTCTGGCAACCTCATTTACACTTTTAAAATGTAAATCTACACTCTTAAAGTCTAGATCTGAACTAGAGTATAGAAATAAGTTTTTTATATCTGGAATAAAGGTTTTGAGTGTTTCTCTCCCAATTTCGGTATAAATTTTTAGATTTTCGATACCTACAATGATTCCCTCTTCTTTCAAGCCTTCTCCCATTCCATTATGGTTGTTCAACTCTAACTTCAAGTGGTGTCTGAAGTACGGTGACGGCGATGATAGAGTTGGATAGCGACGATAGCGATAGGTGTTGATGCAAACCTTACTTGGTTTGTTAGAGATCGGTGATTTTTTCTACCTCGTAACTGATTTTTTAACAAATTTTCCCTTCACATTATACCATGAATTACAATGTTCATAACGTAGTTCATTCGCAAATTTTTAAACATAATTTTCAAACATTTCTAAATTCCAATTAAACTTGAACACATATAATTCAATACCTCAATTTCATTATTCTACTTTCAATTTGGGCCAAATCATTGGTTATCATCATTAATCAACCTAGGGTTTCAAGAAAAACCTTGA